TTATTAAATAAAATTTTTTGGGTTGAATTATTTTCCTACCATCAGTGACAATAAGAATTGTTATTAGCTGATTGCTGATTATTCTGTGACCTAAGTCTGCACATGCTTATGGATAGCCTAATAGCCCATCATAATATAAAAGAAAAAATTTATTTGTATCAAATATTTTTTAAACTTATGACAAAATAATTAATTTAATACACAAGAACAATAAAAAATTAACAATAATATAATGTATCAATAATTTTTAAAGATTTAAAAATAAGTTTAAGAATATCATAGTGTTTGAATAATTGTTTGTACATTTTAAGACAATTTTTTTGATATACAGATTTGACAATAAAAATTCAGTTTTCCATTAACATATTTAAATAACAAAAATTAATAGTTTTTTTGAATCTCCAACATTAATTTTAAAATTAATATAAAACATAAAAATTATAAATCACTTAAGCTCTCAAAAATTATCCCAAAATAATTTTTTCATAATTTTGAAACGTAATTAATTATCTTCTTCTTTTTCTTTATACTTAACTACTCCTTTTTGAATTAGTTCTGGTATTTCAACTGCTAACCATGGACCCAACTACAACAGAAGATAAAATAAATACATTTTAGAAAGATAAATCAAAATAAATCAATAAAATAATTATTAGGTGCATACATAAGAATAGTTATTACTACATTTGTAATTAATTTGCCCAAAATTCAATCGACACAGTTAATTTTAAAACTTTATCAAATAATAACATTTTTACTGTATTATAGTTTATACTTTAAAAAAACACAAGGCAAAAAGTTGTCCAAAAAGGGTTTTCATGGATTAGCAACTGGTAAAAAAAATCTTACACCAAGTGCTAAAGCGTGAGAGATACCAAACTTAGGTACATTTCTGGCCCATAATGGTTTAAAATGGTCTGATAAACATATTTTGCCACCTCGATACATTTTGGCAGTTTTACCATCAAGTTCAGGTAATGCAATTTCAGGTGCTGTAGCAGGGAACGTTACAGGAATCTGAAACCAATACATCGTATGAATAATTTTAATAATTTATATTGATAATTTATACAAATAACTCACATCAAATTCTATTTCAAACTCATATTTTAACTGATTCTGAAATACCCAACACTTTCCAAACCATTTAGTTCCCTCCTTATTTGACTCTAAACGAAACCAATCATTATCGGCTGCTTTATTGTTTTGAACATACTAGAATTATTATTAAAATAAATATTCCAATTGAACTAATGAATAAGGAATGTGATGAATTAAAGAATATCAACCGCCCTTACTTGGATTAGAGATTGGTATTCTTCTTTGAGTCTTTGTGGCCACAAATCAACGTCCCTAGGACCGGCTTTTGTTTTAAGGAGTGGTATAGAAGACAGAGCCTTTTTGGTGTTTTCCATGGCTTAAAGACAGTGATGTACAATGATGACCTTAATTTATCAAAACGAATTACTGAACTTTTGATTGTTTGGAATTCACCAATTCAATATCCAACTCAGATATCCTGAGGGCACTCAGCACTGGGCAGTCGCAGTACTGTAATGGCCAAMGAGACACGACGAATGTAGCATTGCAGCGAAAGCTTACCTGTTAGTTGTTACAGTTACAAGACGGATAGGTAGTGTGCAACAAACTTACAACGTACCCAAAATGTGAAATTACTGATAAGTGACAAATGATAACATTCATAAACACAACACTCACCATGTCCATGTGGCTGTCTTGAGTCCGCGGTTTTATGGTATTAGTAGTAGTCTTAAATTTTTGGAAGTTTGGACTTTTTTCAGCTTTCCGCCCTCCTTAACCCCCTAACCAACAGAAGTTTAGAATTTAGATTATTTTTCGAGTTTGGAGACAATGCTGTTGCTATTAGCCAATAGCTTTCAGATGACTCACAAATACAGCCAATATTGTATCTGTGAGTATATTATACTATGTTCGTATTGAGATATATTTGTATTTGACATAAGCTCATAGATTTATGAAACATGTGTATAAAATAAAATGGTCTATAGGGMATTTATGTTAACATATTTAAACCTATGTTCAATATTTTTTAGGATTTAATCACTTCATTCTCTACTGTCTTTATATAATGAAGTTATATCGGCTTCTCCGGTCATGTGGTTCGTGGTATCGGAATTCAAGACAATCCCACAGAAAATTTAGCAAAGTGTTGGGTATTGAGACTAGCTGCGATGATACTGGATGCGCARTAGTAGACAGTGACAGAAATGTCCTTGGTGAATACTTACAATCTCAACAGCAGATCCACCTCGAGTATGTAACTAATTGGTCCAGATGACAACAAAATATAATTGCCATTTCTTCAGTTTCGGGGGCATAATTCCACCAGTGGCCAGGGATTTGCATAAGCAAAACATTGATAATGTTGTAACCCAGGCGTTGCAACGAGCTCAAGTTAGTTTGAATGACCTAGATGCCATTGCTGTCACTGTTAAACCGGGTTTGCCTTTGTCATTATTAGTTGGTATGAACTACGCAAAGGAATTGAGTAAAAAATYGTTGAAACCTCTGATACCGATTCATCACATGGAAGCGCACGCCCTGACCGCAAGATTAATTGATCATGTAAGAAATACATTTATTATTTATTGACTTATTGTTATTCTGTGTCAATGACTAATTGATAATATAATTTTATTAGGATTTACAGTTACCATATTTAGTCTTACTTTTATCTGGTGGACATTGTTTGTTGGCTATTGTAAAGGAAGTAAATGAATTCCTACTGCTAGGACAATCTATTGATGACGCCCCCGGCGAAGCATTGGACAAGGTAATGAAGCATACAATTTATTAAGTTTTTTTAAACATGACATGAAATTATATTTTATTTCTCAGGCAGCCAGGCGACTTCAGTTGAAGAATATGAAAGATTTCAGAAATTGTTGTGGAGGCCAAGCAATTGAAAAAGCAGCATTGAAAGGTGATCCTAGGGCTATTGATTTGGGTACATTCATGACAAATTATAAAGACTGCAATTTCAGTTACTCCGGCTTAAAGAATGCTATAAGATCTCAAATTCTAAAATCTGAACAAAAGCACGGTAGAATATTTATTATTTATGTATTATCCTTACATACCTATTATACTAGTTTTTTATTTTAGTACTATATTTTTGTTAGAATTGAAAGGAGATGAAATTATCCCAGAAGTTTTCGATTTATGTGCCAGCATTCAATATGCCATTACTAAACACATATGCACTCGAGTACAAAGAGCTATTGAGTTTATTAACCAAACACAAATATTACCAGACACAAATCGAACATTAGTTAGTTAAAAAAAAAAATTTTAAAAATAGTGACTAAACTATAGTATACATTTATTTATTTTTCTCAGGTAGTTTCTGGTGGTGTAGCAAGCAACATGTTCATTCGCAAACATTTAAATATTTTATGTGAWGAAGAAAATTTCAAACTAATAGTTCCACCACCTAAACTTTGTACAGATAATGGAATAATGATAGCGTGGAATGGCATAGAAAAATTTAATAAACATATAGATATTTTCTATCACTTTGATTTAGATAAAATTGATATACAGTCCAAGTAAGWTTTATACAATTTATAATAATATGTATTTACATTTAATTATTAAATTTTTTTGTTATTCATCATTATATATATATGTTAAATATTGTCATTTTAGAGCACCACTAGGAAAGAACATTTCACAACAAATTACAGATATGGAAATCAGATGTCCTTCTGGATTTTTCAATAAAATATTTGAAGGACACAAATAAATATCAGCATTTTATTTTCTTATTGGTTTTTAGTTTTATTTTAGATAGCAATAAAATAACAATTCTTTAATAAATTAGTAATGTTATGTAGTAAACAGTAATGGAACTTGATTGCCGATTTTTCTTATCCTTAACATATTTTGGAATCCATAATTTTATTCCAAACATAATATAATATCTTGGAAAGGATTTTTCGACTTGACTGAAGATTGGAATGATTCTTTGTATAACTGTTTTTGGTTTTCGTTAGAAAGCTAAAATAAAAATTGTTATTACACAATTTTATTTAAATATTTATTTTAAATCAGTTATATTTAAATTATTCTCAATATTCTTACGCTATGATAAAAATCCATTGCGGCAATGCACAACAATCTTCTATCTTCATATTCATAACGACCAAGCCTCGATCTCACATGAGGAAATCTAAAAATAATCACAAACATATAATAAATCATATGATTCAGTGATTGAATAATGAAAAAAAACTACATTGCTCTTAGCCATTTATTTTTTGATGAACTTATAAAAAAACTGATTAGACAGTAGATTGCCATGGGTATTTGAAGGCCTTGGGTAAAATTGCTGAGTGTTGTAATAACCCAATCTTGTAAGAGATCCACTTGTGATTCTTTAATCAATTGCTCAAATATCTGTAAAATTAAAATAAACCATAAAATATATTTCAAAAGTTGACAATATAATAAAACTAAAATACAGACTTGATTAACAACTGTGCACATCGATGTCGGATGAGGTTGATTTGGAGAAAGAAATTCACTGACAACCCTCATGAGAACGTATGATGCTGGAAATATATCTGTTAATACTTTAGCCATTATAACTGTTGTCACTTCTACTTCCAGCAAACATCCTTTCTTTATTCTAAGTAATGCATGTAATTTTACGGGTTGATATAAAATCAGGACATAATTAAATTAAAATGTAAAAAATTTACCTTTCAAACATGACACTTATCTTTTCCATTTCAACAACAATCATATCGGGATCAATATCAGCTTCAATATTTTCATTATAATGTTCTAAAAAAATGTAGAAATAGAACACTAACATACACATCATAAACGAAACATATTTCCTAGCCCAATGCAGCACTTAAGCATATCATTAAATTCATAATCTAAGGTATTATATTATATATGAAATCTATAAACCAGTCTTGATAAATCTTAAGAGGACGTTATACCCACATGTGTTGTCTGTGTCTTTCAAGTGAGTACTGCGTAACATAGTAAATTATACACTCAGCAGATCATGTTTAGCTCTATTAGTTTAAAAACATAAGAATGAATTGACGCCATATAAAACTTAAAGGTAAGAGTATTATTTAGATGACCTCTAAGGGTGTTTTATTATATTTTAATTTTTAAAGTAAATTATAAGTATTTTAAGACAATTTACAATTTTAAAATACTTGTAACTCATTTCAAGATTAAAATATGACATCCTTTTAATCTACTTTACTTAATATAGTAGATCAAACTATTTTTTTCAATTCATTTTCAGATTATTTGGTTTGAATTTAAGTCWAGCCTATGTAGCTTACGTTATCCAAAATATGAACAATAGTAAAAAAGACATTGTATTCTTTAAAATCTATCATAAAAATAAAATAAATTGCTTAAAAGACTTCACTACCTCCCCCACCCCCCACCCCAAAAAAGTGAGCATAAACCACAGATATAATCTGTGGCTTAAACTAAGAAAAACAAAATAAAAAATCATGGTATGGTCTCAAACCTGCATAAATGCATGATAAAAGCAATTGCAATGCTGGTAAAGAAAATCCTGGAGGAGCATTGGATAACCTATCTAAAGCCAATGTTGTAATTTGTTCCATAATGTTTTCATTTGAATGTTTGACATATACGATCCTTTGAAACCCCTAAAAATTTRCTTTTTTATCATATACATATAATTATATTAAATACATATGATGTGTGTATACTGTTGATTACGGCAGTGTAATCATACCTGTATAAGAGCTTGATATAGTTTAAAATGTCTAGATGATGATACTAATTTAGTGAGGCCTTCCAGTGACATGAGCAATGCGTCTTCAATATTATCTGACCCATGTTCTACTATGTAGAATGCTATTGATATCACACATAGCTGCCATTCACATTCATATCTTGACAGAATGAAATATTATACATCACATTTTAAGAACTCAATTAGAAGAAGATAAACTTACAACATTGAGTATTCAGTGCACAGATGTTTTTGTACAAAATCCACAGCCATCTGCACAATTTCTGAACTATTTGGCAATACATTATTCATGATAAAACATCCTTCTAACAAATAAAGTAAGCCATGTAAAGCGGCCAATTGGGTCAAACGACAATTACTTTTGAGACCATTGTCAATTAATTTCAACACTCTCTCTCGAATACTGATATCCTATTAATCAAAAATTCATAATTTATGTATTACCCGTATCTGTTCTGTACAGCCTTGTAAAAATTACCTCACTATTAGAAATAGCCATTGATTTGGCAGCAGCGATTATGACATATTGATGTAACAATACATCTTCATGGTGATGTGACTGCGATAAATCCAGACATACATTGAGCATCCAGGTATAATGCTCTCGTTCAGTAAACAAATCTGACATCACGAGGAGACATTTTATCATTTCGTTTATTTGTGATAGAGAACCTCGTGTCTAGAATGTAAAAATGTATTGGAATCGGAATTTTTAATTAGCAGTAGTTAAAACAAACTTTTGGTTCCATCCACTGGTTAAACACTTCCTTTAACAGCAATATACAAGAATTAAGATCCAAGCCACTTTCATTTAATACATTGATCCTTTTGTACAACTTAATTTCTAACACTATTCACATTTGAAAAACAAATTTATGAACTGATAACAAACTTTAAAAATGTTCTRACAAATATTACTTGAATTTCTTTGTACTGCAATATTATTGGACTTTTTCCATTGATCTGTCATTGCCATTTGTAAAAATTTGACTGACAACTGATGATAGCTATATCTGTTGGTAAAATGTTGAATTGATATATTATGAAAAGTGGTATAAATGATATTGACTAATATAAAAATAACAAACCGATGCTGGTCATGAATTCTCTCAATATTAGCTCTACACTCATAACGATCTAATAACGCCTCTTTACCAGCTGTTTTCTTAAATGTGCAAAATGTTGAATATATTAGATCATTGACTTCTTCTAATTTCACGAACCACCTAATAGTTGATTAAAAAATGTTTAACAAAACTTAAATTTTTATATTATATTATGATATGTAAGTACTTATGACAAGTCAAGTTGAGTGGTATATCTCTTGATACATGTAAGAATTTATTGTTGGTGGTATCACCAGGATAACATTCAAATAATGTCTGACTAAACAATTGTGTAATTCCATTTACAGCTGCACTACTCGCCTTTTATAACAATATAATAATTATAATTATAAGAATTATTTACATAAACTTATAATACTATTTAAAATTTGTTTGGATATGGGTAAAAAAATCCAACTAACTTGTATGCGAGAGATATGTTCCTCTTTTGGTATATCAGTTTCACTGGATGGAACTAAAACGCTCAACAAAGTCATCCAGGTCTCTTCAAATTGTTGTTTATTATTCCAGCCAACTACATTGAGTCTAGACACAAACTGTTTGAGTACATCAGTTTCTTGTAATACATCAATAGGCATTGTTGGTATGTTAAAATCAATAATATTGACCGGTGTTTGCAACATTTTCCATGTAATGGGAGGTACACGCACAAATCCATTTACCATTGGATGGCGACTTATAATTTGTATAATAGAGCTAAAATAAAAATTAAAAACAAAACATACATAGACACCTTGTATACATTTTACTTTTAAGTTTTAATATTGTATTATATTATTACCATGTCAGTTGGTCCAGATGAAAATTTGACAATAATGGACGACAATTTTCCACCCAAGAAAGCAAAGATGAAAATTGCCGGCATATGGGTACTAAATCTGTAGTCTCTGTATAGTCTAGACAAATAGTAATAGGTTTTAGTAGTTTTAGCAGAACATAATATATTTATACATACAGTCATCAGTCATGATCAAAAGTACATCCTCTGTAATGAATTCTACCACTGACACTAATGATGAAGCAATTGATCCCAGTTCTGTGGAGCATAACTCATTTGCCAACCCACAGCCGTTAAAAATATTGTATGCACACTTGAGAAGTAATTGTATTCTGCTAGTAGCAGCTGTTCGATTAACCAATTTCCATTTTAGAACCTATAATAATAAAAATATACATTGACAAAATTATGTCCCTCTATTAAGCGGAATTCTCCTTATAACAGAAAATGTCAATAGTTCCAGTGCAAATAATATATGAAATTTCTATCGCTCTATGACGGAAAACTCTTAATTACGTAATAATGTTTGGTCCCATGCGATTCTGTTATAGAGAGGTTTTACTGTATACTTAATGTTTCTTAACAACCTACTCACTTCAAAAAGTAAAACTGTATATTTCAAAAGATTTTTGTTGGATTCCATTGAAACAATGTGTTCATTTGAATTGTGTTTTGATAAAATCTCAACACATTCTAAAAACTTTGAAATTGCTGGTGTTAAAAACCATATAATTTTAATAAATTTACTGTCTTCAAATAGTTGACTCATACGTGTCTTGTATAAATTTTGTTTTTCATTTAATTCTTTGACTATCGGTAAAAATATCTAAATAGATGTTATTAAAAATAATAAGTAACTTGATTTTAAAATTATAACTTATTTTTTTTTACTTGATGAAATCTAGGCAAGGAACTACATGTTTGTTGAATGTGTTCCACTAAAACAAATCGTGCCGCTACAAACAATGGACACAGTTCTAAGTTAGTTGTATCTTCAGTTAATGATTTCCATGTCTGTAATAATAATATGTTAGTGATATATATATTTATTAAATATTAAATGATTAGTAAAATATCTACTTTTATAGTGATTTGTGTGGATATAATGAAACAATATTGAAGTATATCAAGATTGAAATCATCACAACGCATAATAGAGATGGCATCTTGCAATGGTAAATTTGATAATAATTTGGCTGACTCAAAACTAAGACAGTCATTTCGACAACATCTAATAAAAGAAAAAAAATTATTTTAAATATCATATTTATGATTCATYTGAACTTAACCTGACTGAAACAACAAATATAACAATAATAATTTGTGATTTGAAAATATGGAAAAAATACTTTTGACTCAAAATTGACAGTTCATATTAATAATTTACAAGTCCCCTAGTTAAAGGAAAGAAGAACATTCAAAAAATGCCATAGTTACCTTACTTTTACTAGATCAAAAAACCAATTTTTGTCTATTAAAATATTTTTTATGTCCAAAGTATTGACAGTTTTATTTTGATCAATTTCTACACTTGAAAAATCATAACATTGAGTACCAAATTTATTGAACAATGATATCAATATACAATAACGACTGAAAAAAATGACTTAATTTATTAATCATTATAAGTTTTTTCATGATTGTCTTGATAGAAATAAATTTATTTTATATAAATTACAAATTAAAATGAATAATGAAATATTTCTCACCTCTTTATGCAAACATTCGAATTTTTAAAATATTCTAAGATCTGTAAGGTTTCTTCTTTGCTTAATTGATTAGAACTTTCATTGACAGGCAATGCAAGAAGGTATTCCATTTTTCTATTAAAAATAAAATGTGTTATTTTTATTTTTATTGAGAAATGAATTAGGTTTTAAAATTATTTAATTATTGATATAAATAAAAGTTTTGAAATAATCTGAAATTTCAATAGTACCTGATTACTATAGAGCTAGCGAATTGTGACAATGCTAAGTGTGGATCTTCTAACACAGCAGGCAAAATTAATTTTATTACTTCTCCACAATGTGCAGGATGTGCTTCATTCATACTTCGTAACAGCTCATTAGTTAGGTTTAGCTAAATAATTAAAAAATTTACTCATGCACATAAAATAATAATATTTTAAATAACTACTTTGTCATTAACACATTTTTCAGTGACAGCTGTTATGTGCATTAAACTTAAATTCTGATTTTTATGTATGCAGTTGAGAAATTCTTGCGTTGAAGTCTCATTTCCCATTTCTAACAGTTGAATGACACATTCGGACAAAAACCATTTCAATAAATCATTATCTAAATTAATATTTTTATTCTAAAAACATAAGACACATTTAAGTAAAATCAACAGTTTATAAAAGTCACCATTGCTTACTAATACTTCACATAGGATCAAAAAACAACCCTTTTGGACAATACTTTGATAAAAACACTGCCCTGACCTATATAAAAAAAAGTAAAACATTAGAGTTTATATTAGATTTAATAATATTTAGAAGTTATATTAATTAATAATTACTGAGATTCTGTAGAATTTGTATTCATTAATGACTTCCAAAACTCAATATCGTTGTGATCTAAAAGACCAATCAACTGTACCCAGTACAATACAAGTAAAGGGTAGACCATTGACAAGGTCATAATATTCTTATGAAGTGAAATAAATATGGAATCATTAAGAAAATATCGTAGAGAATTCACAACTTTTGGAAAATTACCTTAAATAACAACAATAAAAACAGTATTTAAATATTCAAGAATAAATTTCATTTCATGGCATGTGAATGAATATGAATGAATCATTTATTGTAAAATTATATAAACCCAAATTATTAGTAAATTGTAAAGTATAATGATTTACATAAKAGTATTTTTTCGGTTATTGAACTGTCAACATAATTTTATGGTAGACTCAATTCTATTATTGTGACTGCTACAGGTTAACACTGAGTTATAATGTTTCAAAACAATTTTTAAATCCACAAGACAAAATAATAGAAGTAATTTTGCTTGATAAGACTTAAAGCATAAAGCATATAAAAGTTATGCACAACTGTCATTATTACTATGAATAGAAACATTTTTGTCACTTTTCCATAGAGAAACATAGTTTATCATACACAATATATAGAAGTCACAAATATGTAAGTCACAAATCCAAATTTTACTATCTTGTCACCAATTTCAGAAACGTGAAATCCTGTAAAAAAAGTAATACTTAGGTGGGTACCTATCATATTGTGTGTTACAAGAAATTGATTAGTTAAAAATGTTTAGCAGATGTTTTAAGTTTTACATATTGTTGGGCAATATACTTATATTATTATACATSATGTCTAGTAGGTAATACAATTATCTTGGAATAATACAGCGCAAAGTCAACCTGTGGTAGTAGTAATAATGGAATTGTATTTACTGGAAAATCATATAGGTAGTCTCGATAACAGATAAGTACCAACATAAGATATATTTCATTTGAAGATAAATTTAATCGTATCTTATTTTGCAATAATTGATCAAGATTAATTAAAATTACCAGATTGTACAATATATTGACAAGTCAGAAGAAATTCTGATAGTAAACACACTTTGCTCTCACAATTAGGTTGAGGATGACTTAAGGATGATATGATATCATTGGTAGATAAATATATAACTCTAAACAAAAACCTATAAGACAGACAAAATTGTACATTGCATAAGTATGTAAAATATATTATTTTATTATATAAATGTATAATTAGTATAATATCTTACTTGGAAAAAGTATCTTCACCAGGACATTTATTTTTATTTAATATTGATGCATTTAAGGGGTCAGACTGTGTAGTAAGTTCAAATAAATTTGAGCTGATTGAAATGTCTGATTCAGAAATCCTAAGAAGAATTAAATCTTCAGACTTTTGAATAAGAATTATAATTAAGTTGGATAGAACAGTTTTTAACCAAGGTTCCAGAGTACATTTCTAAAAAAAATGCATCAAAATTTTAAGTTTTATTTTAATTATTTAAACAATTATTATTTTCAAACACATACTTCTCCATCATAACAAGTGTTGAACATAACATGGAGCTGTTGTTGAATACTATAAGAAGATGGATGTAATGTTAACAACAGATTAATCAATGATGGTAAGGATGCTTGAATTTTGCAACCACCTAATGATGTATAAAGAGTATCATATAATTGTCTGGATTGTTTTTTCCATTTTTCTTCACTGCCTTCCATTATTACAAGACTTAAAATGCTCACCACCTGAATAAAAAGATTAATATTTAGAAGAAAAAAAACACCCATTAAATTACTAATGTATTCCTAAACAGCTTTACTTACTTCATTAAATTGACATAATCTTAATAACATAGCAAATAACATCTCCCTTTGAGCTTCAAGTTCTTTTAAATCTGAAGAATTAACCATAAATGCTGATTTTAAAACATAGACATATTCAACAATTGGTAATATTGCTGGGATACCTAGAAAATTTGATAATTTAAATAATTTATTGGATGTTAATAAATAGTACTGAATAAGCATATTAACATACAATATAGTTCTGGTGGATACCCACTAGCCATTAATCCATCACATAAATGTATTGCTTCAGGAATTATGTTTGATTGACTTTTATCTTCAGATAAATTAATAAAAAATTGAAATATAGTTGAGATAAATTTTTTTGGATCTCTATAATTTAAATTGTATAGTTACAATACTCAATTAATCATTGAAATGAATAATATAATAACAAATTAATAATATTACCTAAATAAACCATTTTCGAGATAGTCAAATTGGCTGAAAACAAAGTTTAAAAACTCATGTTTTGGGTCGATCACATTTAAGTTAACTTTGCTTTGAAGTAACACTGTAAGTAAATTTAGAATTGAAGATTGTAATTCTACATCTCCAGTAGTTACATATTCCTAAAATGTTGTTATTATTTATTAATGTAGATGAAAAAACTTTAATAGATTAAGTGAATGAAAAAAGGTTTTAAACTATAAAATAAATTAAATTTATTCAAAAAAAATATGATTTTCATTATAAYGTAATGGCACATGAAATTTTTGTTTACTTCACAAACAATAATTAAATATTATTATTATTAAATTTTATCAAAAAACATATAYAACTTACCTTCAAGCACTTAATAGTCAATGGTCGAAAACATTTTAAATTTGAAAAAAAATCTAAATTTTCAGAATTAGCACTATACAGCTTTCCACTCATTGTTGTTCTGCGATCTCTTTCATCTTCCCAATGTTTATTTGCATGTTGAGTAACTTTAATTTTAGTGTCAATAAAGTTTGATAAACATTCGTAAGGTGTTTGTAATGCTTGAGTGTACATGCASAGTGTTTGTAAATCATTTTTAATGAACATACAATCCTTTCTACAAAATATTTGTTGATTTGATGACATATTATACTTTGAATTCAAACACTTTAATAACTGAAAATAAGTGTTTATTAGTAAATAGCATAAGAGAAAAATTTTTAGAATTCATACTTCAGCCAAAACTTTAGAACTACAATTAGGAGTTAAATTGAATATTGCAGTTAAACAGAGAAGTATGCGATCTATGTGTTGTTGGCACTCTGTTGTACTTATAAATGTTAACAATATCTTTAAAGTATCTAAAACTGACTCAAGAAATCTTATGAATTTTTCATTACTTGTATTTTCTAGAGACACCTACAAAATGTATAATATATTACAATGGTACATGATATCAATATCTTATGTTAGTAAAAATTTTAATTGGCTAGTTACTTTGTAATTGTTGTATGATGATTTAACTATAGATTGCAATTTATAGTAATAATTACTATGACTTGGTACATCTCTCAAATTTTTTTTGTCTTTTTCATTTTCACCTAAACAATGGATAAATAT